TTGTTTTATTTTGATGGCACGCTTGTGTACCACGCCACGACGTTGGTCGTTAAGTGGTGTTCATTTTTCTAACTACTCCAGTGTTCCGATGAGTTGAACGGAAAAGCCAAAACGATTGCTGGTTTCTGATTGCTTCGGTTCTGGTGAGTGTGTATCTAGTGTGATTCGAACCCATGTCGTTTATATTGGGCGTTTTTTTATTTCCCATGTTATCTACGCCGTAATATGCAACCACTTCCCCGTTTTATTGTGATTTTGAGTGTTTAATGATGTCTTCCTCACCCGTCACGCCATGACCCAGTTTCAACCACACGGCCATTTTGCAACACAGTTCGTGACCCTCGGCGTCACCCGACTGACTATATGAGCGTTCTGTTCAACTGTTAAGCTAGGATTTATTACCGTTATTATTATATTGTTACGTGATTTGTTTTACCTTATGTGCAATGTCTTAAGTATCTTTATTGTAATTTGTATATACCAATTCGTATATACCGAGGAAACGACCCCGATTGAAGATCATGTATTTTATGACGTCACCAATTCGTGTGTAGGTACTGCTTCTAGATCTGTGCCTTAGGCTGTATATCCCATAGAGGTATAAATAGATTCATACTTCTATGATCATACTGATCTGACTAACAGTTTCAGAGTAGAATACAAATAAGGAATCTGCAACCTAATGTCATAATGGTTTCAGTTTCAGTTTAAAGTACAACATGTACACATACTGTATAAACCAGTCATGGGACATTGTGATCATTAGCATAATAATAGCAAGATGACAATACTACTACCAAGTCAAACTAGTTTTCACATGCATGGAAACGTATAGACAGATGTGTTACACTCTATGGTATCCCATATTACCATATTACAACAAGGTTAAAATCAGAAAAGTTAGTCGACAGTATAATATTCTAATAGAAAGTAAATCAAAAGGGGGTGGGTTGCCAGTGACCCGTAACCAGTAAGATTGGAAACGCATGGTGAAATATCTGGGTCAGTTTTGATTTCTGGATCAAATCATGGAACTTTATGCTTGTATTGACCAGATTTGTGAAGCAATTTATCTGTGTACGGATTTTTTTGTAGTCAACGTCTCACATGCATGTGCACAGCCAAAACAATACTGGTGCATATAAATATCTCTTTATAACAGACACTGTCTACTTTTATGAATCAGACCATTGTATCTGGAAGAAAAGGACGCAGAATAGGTTCAAGATTCAGCCTAATTACATGTTTACTCAGCCTTGAGGAGCGTCAACATTCCAGATTTTTGAAAGAAGAGTGTTACGCTGATTATATAATAGCATTATGATACAAGAAGACCGCCCGCGGAACTACCATGCGACCAAGAAGCTATGGGAAACGTGATGATTTTAATTTAGCCGTCTAACAGACTAACAGAGAACTACACACGTATACATATCGTTAAAATGTTGGTTAAAATTAGATTATTGACAATTAAATAGTGTTGCAGTCGAAGTATTAGTAATAGTAGTAGTAGTGGTGGTGGTGGACAGGCCGGTGATTCGGGGTGGCACAAAATATTTTAACTGGGCTTGGAGTCGGGTTACTTTTGAGTAATCTTGCGCTTATCATACCGGCTAAAAAACGGACAGCAAACTACATTCTAAATAGCCATTCCGCAGTTGAGTCAGCTTGACATTACATTGAGTAACATTATGCCTTGGTACTTAAATATAAATGGTAAACGACAAGTAGAAACCACCAGAACTTACCATTTTCCTCCTGATTATTCTATGGGCATGTTACATACAAGCTATACGACCTACGTGACCCGAGCTCTAACACAGTCACGTGTTGAAATTACCTAACTTAGTTCAGAAATACAAGCACTGTTCGTTGAATATCAACAGTGTAAAACATTCCATTCACCACTTTCGGCTGCAAATTACAATAGCTTCATAGTAATGTTAATTTTATTGAGTCACCTTATAATTCCAGTTGTAAAATTCTCGTTATAGCAATTATTTTATTGTGGAATGCTGTTTTCTTTTTTGTAACTTAGGTGGTCATCATTAGCGTCGACCTGGAATGAACCACTTTGTTCAGAGGGAAGATATTGAAAATAGATACTCACATGTCCTTTGGTTCAGTACTCATTTTCTTAAACATATGATCCAATTACTATAATCGATTTCGTCATGTGTCTTGTTAATGGTTGCAATAAACTTCATTTCTTGACGGTTTCAATTAAAGAGTAAACAGACAAGGTAATGGTATATCCCACAATGCAACAGTTTGGGGTCGCATTCTCAAGATGGCTGCAGAGGAGCAAGGGGAGAAGAAGCGGAAGATATCACCAACGGCAACAGCTTATTTGGTGCTCTATAATGTTGTCCTGTGTGCAGGGTGAGTCCTTCAGCTTGGTTGCCTTAATTTCATTATAAGTTGGTTGCCATTCACCCAGTAGTATCCCACATCGTTGATGAAGTCGTGCACGAAACTATTAAAAGTTCAGTTTGTGACATCGGTGGCTGTCACTGTCAGTGGAAAGGAACTGACAGTGTAATGATGTCGTGTACACAGATCTGAACTATTAAATATTTTTGGCTGATGTAGCATCCTCAGATCCCATGACTGTTGTCATGTGCACTGCCGTGATCGGCCAAGGTTCAAAGGGACAAACTAAAAACAATCTGCCTGTGCCCTCTCACTCACCTTATAATGAAATTACTGAATAATGTGGAAAAACTTTACACGATGAATTTTGATTACTAGTTTTTCAAAATCGTGGTTAAATAGCGAATAGCATTACACAACATATTTGTTGTTACATCCAATGCTATGTATGTGAGAATGTTATCAGTTTTGGGTCTTGGGTCAACCATAGAGCTAACAAAAAACCAACTCCCTTTGATGCTGTTGTCACTATGACTTGTGCCGAATATTTGCGCTGTAGATGCAGATAACACTGAGATGGTTTATCTGGGCATTATTGGATGGGAATATTCAGATTAGCAGTTTTGCGTTCAAAATAACATAGTGTAAAATGACTAATTTTCACTGGGTTTAAGATTCGCTGATTTATCATTTCAGGCATATTCAATGGGTTTTAAATTCACGGTTTTATCATTTAGATAATGTGTTCTATGCTAAATTTAACATATTCACTGGGTTTTAATTTAGCGCATTTTCCAGTCAGCGAAATAAGCAAAATTAAAACCCAGTGAATAATTAACCCCTTTACAGTAGCTTAAACAGCCAAAAGAAGTCAAAAATGGCAGCAGCAGTTTATAATAATTTATCGATGTCATTTTAGTTTAATTTGGTAACTCAGAAAATCACATTGCCAACTTTATTTGTCACTAAAATCTGCATTTCAAAACAGATCCAATGTTTTTTTGCTGTATTGTCGAGAGGAAAATAAAATACCTCAGCTCATTTACCCACCTAGGTGTATTCCTAAGCAAATTAATCTCAAAATGAGTTTTCGATTCAGCTAAAAATAATTGTCTGCAGCACCTGCTTTTGACTGAAATTCAACATTTTCGAAACATACATGTAGTGTGTGATAGGCATGCACACACTACACATGCATTCATTCCCATGGCAATTACATCGTCGTGACCACCGTCAACACATGCCAGAATGCAATGGCAATACTGAGTTTGTCCACGAATTCCTGATCTCACAATATACTCCATTCAAAAGATCATGGCATCCTAAAGGCTGTGCACATGTTTATACTCTGCCCACATGTTCATTCACAGTGACTGGTCGTTTGTACTCAAACATAAATAGTGTCATTGTTTGCTGTTTTGTTATTAAATATTTATATTTGTGTTGCTCTTAATAAAACAAATTATGGACAATGTTATCACAGAAGATTGTGTTGATCAGCCAGCAACATTAAATCACTATTAAATAAATGTGGTGGTCACCTAAGGTACAGCTTTCTACCTGACTGTATCGCGTAGGTTTATTTTATTTGTGAAGATTATTTACATAAACAGCATTACCATGTGTGCAGATTTTGGGTTGGTTTTAAAATAAAAGTAGTTGTAAATTGTTCTATCGCCTTCATAAATTATTAAATTATGCACCTCTTTTAAATTTAATTCATAGAATACCTTGTTAATCATTGTTGTGATTATTAATGCTGATAATAATAAAAACGCACTATAGATGTTGATGGTGTATTTCACTGACCCTTTAGAGAACTCCATGTGATAAATTACTTACATATAACAAATTCAAATCAACATAAGAATTTGAAGCATATTTGGAACATATCCAAAACATTAATCACAGAATCAGTAAGTACAGGGTATTAACATATGTATTACCCATTGAGATCTAGGAATACTCAAGGGACTATATGGACTATACATGCTGCATTGTTAAACCACAACTGGAAGAATTTCTGAATGTATGTTCTTAGTTTCTAACTACATTCTTTCAAAAGCATGACAACTTTGTGAAAGTTCCATTTCATTTCCTATATTAAGTAAATAGGCAGATAGAAACAAAATACAAAGACATGCATACATAAATAAGGATCACATTTTTCTCACAGAGCCTCGCAATAGTGGTGGTTTTATTTAAAAAAAATAAACAGAACTGAGAGTCTTTACGTTTTACCTGCCTATTTCAATGTAGGTCTGTTTCATCAACACCTCAAGAACTACTCATCAGATTTGAATGAAACTTTATATATACTAATGTTGGTCCTTTTAGTCAACTTGTTTTTGCTATTTCTTCTGTTGCACCATCAGCGTCACACATTTGATTATGATGTATTTCATTCCGGAGTTATGGTTACTCAGTGTGGAGTTATTTTTACACTATGTAGAGTTATGTAGAGTTATTGTTACAAGGTGTAGAGTTATTGTTACACGGTGTAGAGTTATTGTTACACGGTGGAGAGTTATTGTTACACGGTGTAAGGTTATTGTTACACGGTGTAGGGTTATTGTTACACGGTGTAGGGTTATTGTTACACGGAGGTATGTAAATGTGTCGAAATGGACATAGTGCGAGTGGTTAGTGCTAGTAGCACTAATCCGAAAAACTACTAGATCTAGTGCTAAAATGGCACTAGATCTAGTGCTAAAATGGCACTAGATCTAGTGCAAAAACGGCACTAGATCTAGTGCTAAAATGTACATAGTGCGAGTGGCATTGATATTGCGTT